ACGCAGCCCGCAAGCTGTGCTTTAAGCTTTTCGTGGGTTCAGACGAAGACAAACTGACTTATTTCCAGAGCTTGAGAGACAGGTGGAGTCGGGAAGGCTCTTGCAGCATCTTACCAGTGCTTCTGCCTGCTCTGATATCGACTCTTTACTCGATCACCTTGAGCAAAAGGCTTTTCAAGAAGGCGAAAAACTAGTCCACGATAGCACTTTCCAGCTAGAAGTAGGACCATACACAGTGTTTCCGTCAGGTGGCTGCGCATGCGCCGACGTAGACTTGGGGCAAACTGAACTTTCCAATATGGCTAGCCACAGCACGAGCTCTGAGGAGCATACAGAATCGTGTGCTACATTCGATTTCACCAGCTTTTCTTACGAGCCCAGTATTGACCTTGACCAAGAGATGAGCGGCCCCAATTCTGGCAATCCAATTGATAGTACTTTCGACAGCAATAAGGGATTGAATTCTGCTGTTGTCAGTACCGGATGTTATATCAATGCCCAGGTGTCAGATGCTCAATCATTCGAGCTACCGGAATTGTCGATGCTATCAAATAGCACGTTGCAAACCTGCGCAGGGGTTGTGGCTGGCCAGTTACCAAATGAACCGGTTCAGATACCCCTGCCTGCAGTCTCCCAAATTCCGAGCCTTTCTACTGGATCGCCTTACTTGCCACCTGATGTTCGGTTTCTGTTGCATCACTACGACGATATAGTTATTGACTCTTTATCTGCTATACCTTTACCGCAAGAGAAGGCGCCCTGGCGTGACCTACATCTACCGTCCGCATTAAGGGCTTATGGAGAGTTGGACGTTCTTGGAAAATCCAGTCTAGCCAGAGTATCACTGCTATACAGCCTACTGTCTCTAACATGCTATCACCTCAGTTCGCTATACTCCTCAGTTGATATAACGACGGCACCGGGTTCTAGCAATGAACCAAGTTTCAACCCAAATTCAAACACGGAATACTGGAGGACCCAGGCCCAAAAGTTCCAAGCTATTGGTCGTACGGCATTTCAAAAGCATCTAGAATCGACACAAAGTCACAAGCAAAAATACAAAGAGTCCTTGATGGCAGCCATGAGTCTCATATGCGTGGATGTAATCAGCGGTGATACTTCGGACGCCAGGATACACATACGGCAGTGCGAAAAGATTATTCGCAAGGCCACGGAATGCCACCGGCAATTCTCTGAAAGGGCACTACAACTCCATAGAATCTTTGCGTTCATGATGATCATGGAACAGTCTACGTTTTGCCACTCAAAAGGAGATCACGTTGATTGTTTGAAGAATAACATTAACCATGCGGGAGAGATGAGCTTAGTTGAGGAGATGACAACAGGTCAAGATACCTTTGTCCTGGGGTGCTTGGTCACCACGCAAAGCGATGTGCCTGGTTCTGATATGCCGTTGCATCGGCGGGAAGCTGACGGCTTTAACAACCTTTATGGAGCCTCAGGCAAACTCTTCGAAATGCTTGCAAAGACCAACATTCTCGTCAACAAGATGGCCATAAGTGTCAGAAATAGCAAGTCTTCCCGATATGTGGTTCCTGAGGAGTTGTTCGATGAGGCTGCCGAGTTAGAGCAATCTATATGCGACTGGGCGACAAATTTTGAGGCCTTTCCAGATATATTCAACATTGCAGATCTGTGTGATGATCTGCCCTTTGATGAAGTCAGTTTACTTGCCAAAAGCTCGGGGCGTGATGTACCATCTGCGATGGCAACTTGCATGCACGTCGCCTTTTACTATGCATTACTGGTGTACTTCTTTCGCGAGGTCCGCAATACCAATCCCAAGATACTGCAGCATTATGTGAGGAAAGTAATCGCTTGTCTGGAATATCACAAGTCGCTCAAAACGCGATTCTATCCTACTAAGCGGATAGGCACTATTGTCTGGCCAAGCTTCATCGTCGCGTGTGAAGCCTTGAGCCCAGAGTTGCGTCACCGTGCAGTAATGGGCATTAGGCAGTCGGTCGCAGCGGGTTTCCGCAACGGCGAAATTGCAGAATCTGTTGTGAGAGAGGTATGGAAACGGCGTGACGCCGGTGATGCCAATGTCTCGTGGAGAGAGATTGTTTGTCAGTTAAAGGCTTTTATGCTGTTAAGCTAGCTGCCGAAGCTTCGAACTGCTCTGGAAGTACACGTTTTAAACTGGATACACCTAAAGGGGTAGGTATCTGTGGCCTACACAAACTTGAATACATAGAAATGTCTTAGAAACTTTGAACAAGCTTTGCGTCCCTTTATCACGATTGCCACTGGCGCGCACGGCAATTTAAACGTTTTTCTTACACTAAATGAATCGTTGTCTCTAATCGACAAAGACATTAAAATCTATCTCCTGCGCACGAGGCTGATATTGCCATCTATGGATATACGCAGGCGTTCCATTTTGGTTGCCGCCGTTCGTAGTAGCATATGTTCCGACCAGGGTACCCGTAAAAGGACCACTGCCGCCACTTAACAGCAGGGCACTTGCTTCCCCAATCACCATCCTCTCAGCAATACTAGTCCCTGACTCGGCCAAAAACTGGTATGTCCTATCGTCTTTTGTCGATATAGCTAGCTTTATTGGGCCGGTGCCCCATGAACATGGTATTGGTAACTTCACTGTCTTTGGCGGTTCGACATCTGGCTTTCCAACTGTGGTTGCGCAGAAACGCAAATGGCGGACTAGGTGGTCCTCGTCGGATGGCAAAAGGACGGCTCCCAAGTCTATGTGCTGTTGCTGAGTTAAGAATAGAGTTACACCTGCTTCTTCTCCTCTTTCCACGGGTTTGAAGTCTAGATCAATGCTAAAGTCGAACAGAGTTGCCTCTTGGCGTCGGGCAAAAAAGGTGAGTGGATCTAATGGCTTGAAGCCCTCCCCGCCATTGAGGTTCGCTTTTGACGGCAGCAGCTTCAATATTCCAGGCTTTTCTCTGGGAGATATCTGGTACATCTCCTTGCCAAGATTATACCATGACATGAACTGCGGAGGAAGCGTGGCCCCTGGTGGGAAATAGATAATTTCAGGATCACCAATGAAAGGGCCAGATCCTGGCAGGTCTCGAGTATCATGAGGTTTCTCCCACCCTGTCATCAGGCCTTGTACACGCTGAAAGGCAGGCCATTCACCGTCCCAACTGACCGGAAACAAGACGGCTTCTCTACCCATGGGGTAGATTTCCCATTCGGGCCCTGATCTTGTAGCAAGCGCAACTCCCCACCATTGTCCCTTGCCATCTTGAAAGATGTCTGCATGGCCCACTGTCTGAAAATACTCGCTCGTCCCCTTGTTTGTCAGGACTGGATTGCCTTCATAAGATTCGTAGGGGCCCGTCACGGTTTGCGCTCGGGCAATTGTCACAGTATGATTGAGTTCCGTACCGCCTTCTGATATCAGCAGATAGTACCAATCGCCATGCTTGTATACATGTGGTCCTTCAGGATTACGTCCACCGGTACCTCCCCAGAGTTCTATAGGCGTTGATGCATTGCCTGTTGATAGATCAATCTCAGACTGAAGTATTACGTCTCCAGCAAGGGCCATGTAGACCTTTCCATCGTCATCCCAGAATATGTCAGGATCGATAGCATCTCTTGGATTATCAACTCTAACTGGGTCGCTCCAAGTAGAGTTGTCATATGGATTGGTGGAGGTGTACACTAGCAGCGTCCCGTTCCAGGTCTGAGTCGTCTTGTACACAGCTATTACGTGAAAGCGACCATCATGAAAGCGTAGAGTCGGGGCCCATATCCCTTGCTGTTGATTGATAGTGCTTGCAACAAGATCACGAATGGGCTCCAGACGGTTAATGACGTGACTCACGAGCTTCCAGTTTTTCAAGTCCTTGCTAGCATAGATAGGCAGGCCGGGGAAGGCCAAGAAAGTTGAAGCTGTGCAGAAGAAAGTATTATCCCACTCAGGTACGAAGATACAGCTCGGATCTGAATGCCAGCCCGGAAAGACTGGGTTTGTATATCTCTCGTTGGGATGCCCCACTGCAAGCCTAGGCGTAAGGCTAGTCATGAGGGAAATCGCAACCAAAATACCACGCAGCATCAGAACAGGAACAGTGTTATAGAAATGTCTTTGCAAATGAGTCCATCGTCAGCCAACAGAGGGATCCTTCCCATATAATAGCTAGAGTGGTGAGATCCACTACTAATTTATCCGTAGGGAATTATAAGCGCCCCTCTCTTAAAGCGTAGAATAAACATGAACCCACCAAAAAGCTTGTGATCTCGACACTAGTGTTCGTGGAGAAAGAAGTCTAGTACCTGAATGGGCGGTACGGATAAGCCTTAATCATCACTGAATTTTTAGTGTCATTCGTGGAAAATGTGCTCTAAGCGACCCTGAGGCGGGCTTATCTCCCTTTTAACCGGTATCAGGCATGTAGATTTGTGTGGCAATTAGATCAACGACTAAACACTCCATCCACGAGTTAAACGACAAAAAGGAAAAGATATTATAATGGGCATATCATCATGTTCATACCATTGTTGATCAGATGCGAGGCATGTAGCCCAGCTGGTAAAGTGGCTCACAATGAACGAGTGACCTCTTCTCGCCCCTGATGTCATAACGTAGAATCAGATAAAGTCATCCAATATTCTATAAGCCTTATAACAATTTTGCTTAACCAATATGTCACTGGCGCCGCTAGTATCGAAATGTAACAAGACCTGTCCTTTCCAATTCACAGCACTCTTTTGCCGTCTCTCTGACCGCACCCGGTACACTAAGGATAGCACCAAGCATGGACTTCAAACTACCTCGTACATACTGACGCCAAGTAGGTAAGTTCTGAATTACTTCCTCGTCTATAACAGTGTCGATAAAGAGACACAATTCCTCTAAGTGCTCATCAAGGTTGTAAGATGTCTTTTTCTCAAGCATCTGTGCAACGGTCCGTGGGCTCCAAGCTAGTATCGGCGACGAATCTCTTACCGGCAACACAATCGCGGGAACATGTGTGAACGAATGAAAGCTTATCCGTGCCTCATTCGGTATCCTCGAATGGGACCAAGCAGACCGCGTGGTTACCCACCGATACGGCGATATCCCCGCCACAAAGACTGCCATTCTCCTGAAGCCGGGATACGTTGCCATAGTTGGATTTAAAGACCGACTGTCCCACGGTATCCCTAAAGGTGATACAATTGGCGTGTTCGACTCATCAAAGCCTTCAAGTAAGGTCGGCGCCACACTCGCATCAGCCGCCAACCTAGGTCGCAACAATTGAGCCATGGTGAAGTCCTTCCCACGAGCAATCTCTGGCTCACGGGCCGAGGCGTACAGGTAAGGGCAGAACCAGCCCTTCGCACAACTCATCCAGTCTGCCGAGTCATGCACGCCTAAGAAACCTAGCTCCGCCGCCTCGCCGATGAGCTTGTGCCGGATCTGCAGGGTGAGACTGTTCATGCCGACTTTGCGCTCGACGACGCGGCCTTTACCGAGTCGGCCCGTGACTTTCTCTAGGCCCATGTCTGCAGACTGCTCCACCGTCGCTGAGACGGCGTGTTCCATTGCCTTCTCCATAACGGTCACCGCACTCGCTCCCAGGGCATCCAGCCCGAGGTGCGCAACACCTGCCAAGGCGACATCGCGCTTGCGGATGTTGGGCAAGGTGAAGGGCGTGTTGTCGCCCCATGGCGAGAGGTAGAACGGTAGGCGCGCAGTGGACTCAAGCGACTGCCATGAGGCGCGGCTGATGCGCGAGACCAGCATGTTGCCAACGAAGCGCGAGGCGCGGCTGCTTGTCTTTTCATCGTAGGCGAGGTGGTCTGTGTTCAGATTGGGCGAGGAGATCGCATTCGAAGAGACATTCTGCAGGTCAATGTTGCCCATTGTCTGAGACGGCTCGCGAAGTAGCGATGGCTGTGGAGATAAGAGGGCTTTATCACCTGGCGGCGCGGAAGACGGTCGCGGAGGTAGAGCAGGTACTCCTAAATGGACCTGAGATTGCGACGACATGCTGCACTGGATGGAAAAAAAGATTGAAAAGCGAATTTTCTGGCGTACCTGGATAAACCCCTGCCAAGAATGACGATATGGCAGTTTGGTGTTTGCATGAAGCGGGCACCTTGCCCCGTTTCAGAGCCAATTATTGTTAGCAGGCTCACCTCCCTGAAAACCAGCTAGCGTCTCTATGTGTCAGTGGCAAATTGGAACGACTACATGCATTAATCTACTTCTTTCATTTACAAGACAATGGTCTAGGTATTGTGCCCTCGCACGAGTATACGTGATTTTAGATGACCTTTGTGGAGAAGCATCTTGTCATGGCACCAAGCCACCATGTATTAGCGGTGTGTAATTAAGTTCAAGCACAACGAAGGGAGCCTTTTTGAGCCCCTACCCCTTCCGAGAGGAAAGTATGACAATTCACAATGTAAAACCTGGTCTACCTAAAATATTTCTTTGATTTGACCAAGCAATGATGTGTGAATCTGCCTGTATACAGACATGGCTCTTTAGTATACAGTGAGCAGTCTTTTGAGTGTACTCCTCATTTACTGAAAAAATGATAAAGTCAAGCTATCAGTACATCAACAAAATATTTTCTCTTTGGGCTTATCTAGTTTAGTATTGACGTGGCGACGTCTATGTATACTAGAGGTGCTATGGAATGATTAAAAATATTCAACATCAAATCTACAAGGACAAAAAAAATTATGTGACATCAGGAATTGAGCCCGACGTGGGGGTCACCCACAACCTTAAGATGGTCTCCTAGAAACGACGAAATCTCTCTCTGTACAGGAGTCTTAGGCTCTACCGTCAGTTCAGATCCACATTTTTGTTGACGAGGATTATGTCTGATTTGATTGGATGATCCTCATGCAACTTTGCTTCATGTTTAAAGACGCGTTCACGGTACGCCAACATTCACCGTAATGCCAGTGGTGTTGGGTGTTATCAGACCTCTGCCTGTTATTCCAAGGAGTACTGCACTGCACCGTAGGAGCTCAAGATCAGCAAATCAATGGCCAATGAACAACATCCTGACGATCTTCCACCCCTTCAACAACTTTGGTCACGTAGGAGGGAAATGTAATATCCCCGGTCACATGACCGGCCCTGGCAGTCTTTCTCCCCGAAAGTACACTTACCTAAACCGTGCCGCCAACATGAACACCATAGCTTAACGCCCGTGCAAGGGCTGGCAAACACTGGCAATCATATACAAAACTCTAGACAATCTAATCCATAACATAGATGACTTCTTCCGATGCAAGCCTCCATATGAAACCTTGGTAGAAGATAGCATTTCTAATTGCTTGACTTAAATAAATAATCTGCTGAGAATAGTTTCTCAAACCTCCTCAGCGCCTGAGTGTGCGTCCGCAACGGGATAATGGACGACAACACAGACCACCACTTCCGAACGAGCCTGGCGACGGCTTTACCACACCTGTCAACGTCAACAAGAGCCGTGCACGCGGACGACGTTCTCAACAATGTTGACGATGTGGCACCGCCAATTCACGTCACCACAACGTTTCGTTATCCCCGAGCTGTGCACCACCTGCGGCCACATCACGAGAGACCTTCATACCCAGTTTTGGATGTCGGGGAGCACTGCTATTCAAGGCAATCCACGTCAGGATTATCGCGTCTGGAAGCGGTCTTGTCGTCACTTCTAGGACACCCGTGCATCGCCTACTCTAGCGGCCTAGCCGCATTCCACGCTCTACTAACCATATTGAACCCAAAAAGGGTCTCTATTGGCGCCGGTTATCATGGATGCCACGGCACACTCGAGCTCTACGCCCGGGCGTCCGGCACCGACGTGCTCCCGCTCCAATGTGCCATCAATCAACTCGGGCCAGGCGACTTGGTACATCTAGAGACACCCGTGAATCCAACAGGACGAGCTTTAAATATCCAATATTATGCAGACAGGGCCCATTCTCGAGGTGCGTACCTCAGTGTGGACTCTACGTTCGCACCCCCTCCCCTACAAGACCCCTTTCTCCATGGCGCGGATATCGTGATGCACTCTGGGACAAAATACCTTGGCGGTCATTCCGATTTCCTGTGTGGGGTTTTGGCAGTCAAGAGTACCAGCGGTAGTGTTGGGGTCCGCGGCGACGACTGGCTCCAGCAGCTCCACCGAGACAGGCTATATCTCGGGTCAACCATGGCAGGTTTCGACAGCTGGCTTGCGACCAGGAGCATCCGCACCCTGGAAATGCGAGTCTTAAAGCAAAGTCAGTCAGCTGAGTTTATCGTGCGCGCCTTGCATTCCGGACTAACGGCGGTTCCGCAACCACCGGCATCGAAGGTACTTAGTGATGAAGATGCCTTGATCATCCAGGAGGTGGTCAAGGAAATTCATCATGCTAGTCTCGAGGCCGATGCAGATGCAGAAGACGGCTGGCTACGAAAGCAAATGCCACGAGGCTACGGGCCCGTGTTTGCCCTCACCCTTCGAGAGGTCGATTTTGCGAGGGATCTGCCGTCTAAGCTGCTCCTCTTCCACCACGCAACCAGTCTCGGCGGCGTCGAGAGCTTGATCGAATGGCGGACAATGACCGACTCAACCGTGACCAAGGACTTCCTGCGCGTCAGTGTCGGTGTGGAAAGCCCTGAAGACCTCTTGGCAGATTTAGTTCAAGGCCTGAGAGCAGTTGCAAATAACTCCAGTTAAGATGGTCTCTTTTCTCTTGACAGAGTTAAAAACATCGATTGCATGTCTGATGCCCCTGCCAACGTCCGTCTCTCCAGCTTCTCGACGAACAAGTCGGCTAGAAAGTGTATGAATGATGCATGCTATCCCTTAATCAAGAAAATTCGGTAACAATCAGGTAAGATAGAGAGACCTGACTAGCCGACTATCCTTTGCACTATGACAGCGTGGATAGCCATCTTGCCCAGCGTGAATAGCAGCTCCTGTTCGAACAACACAATGCCACCACGAGAAAACCGAACAATTGACAGTAAGCCATGAGGTTTGATTTGTGTGCTTGTATTTCTTTAGTCATATCGTCATTATAGATGCAGAGACACTACAAATTTCCGACTTCCCACGTCCCGAAAAAGGGGCTGCCAGGGACTTGAAATTGAAAAAATGGATCGTATGTCATATCTAAAGTCGAACTATTGGCGGAGATCGACCAAGTTACTGTAGGGGTAGCTTCGGTGAAATGTACATCAAGCTCCGGCACCGGCGCGGCAGGATCTGGTGACTGAATAACCTGTTGAGCTTGGTTGTCATGAACTACTCTGGTTCCGTCAATATTTGCCGGATACCTCCGCTGGCCTGACTGTGGTGGCAATGCCTGTCCGTTAGATAGAACCACTTCCACTGTAGGACTATGGGAGATCTCCATTTCGACGATGTCGTCACCTTCATCAATGTTGTCTTCTTGGGAGAAAGAAGACTCATCAAAAAGCCCTCCAGATTGGGGCAAAATCGTCGTCCCCTTGTTAGCTGCAAAGTTGTAGAGGAGTATGTCCCACATCAAGCGCGTGTTGATGGAGATGGTTCTAGGCATTGAATTTTCTTCTTCCTTTCCTGGCTGATGGTCTGACGCAAATGCCGACCGGACCAAAGCTTGGAGCTTTTCATGCTATTGAGACTCAGTATACTGGTGGGAAAAGTTATGCTAGGGATGTTGTAATGACTTACCAGCCATCCACATGAAGGCCATAGAATTGCCAACTCTGCCAAAAAAGCGACGCACCTTCCAAGTCTACTCAGCGCCGCTTCCCTGGTAGTCTTGTCGGCGGCTCGACAGAAATAAATATGGATGGTCGCTGCGATTGCCGTGCAGTGGCCGATGAATGGATCGGAGACGTGGTACGCCTTGTTTGTCACCATGTCGATGAGACGTGCGACCCACGTGCTGTGAATGTATGCAAGTTCTGATGATGTTTTCCAAAAGGTGTTGGGAACGGCCAATTGGGCTGACTGTCGTGGTCGTGATGAATACAAAAAGGGGTGATTTAACATGTTGTGGATGGTGTGGTAGGTGAATTGCAGATATAACCAGGGGCTCCAGTATTCCCGATGGTCTTGGAGATGCAGGTTCTCCCGGTCGGGAAAGCGTGCGAGGTCGAAGCGATGACAGGCAGGTAAGTTAGTCTCTAAGTTCATGAGATGGGCGCTGATGACAGCGTACCCGGACTCAATCGACCATGGCGGCGCACAGTCGGTCTGCTGAGCGCACTGCTTCACATACGTCCGAACCTCTCCCCACAAAGTAGACAGCTGAATCATGTAAGCCCATATGCCACCACTCTTTTGACTACTACTCATTCCGCCGCCTTGGGTCGTCATCTCTTCTCGCGGCATACACGGGGGCAATTCATTTAGCTTCTTCCGTGGGTCTGAATGCATCGCGACATATTGCGGTTTAGAAATGTCTTCCAATATGTCCGTCGCGGAGCCTTGCTGCCCATACATTTGCTGCAGCAAGTATAAGCTCCAAAACACTCTTCTTAGCGACTCTGCACGCGAGCCCATATCAGTAAGGTGACAAGTTTCGAAATCGAGATTGGCACATTTTGCAAGTGTCGTGGCGATGCCTACATGCAAACACACTAGAATTGGGTTGTTGGCTATCTAGCTGCTTCAGCACACGGCTTGGTTAGTGTGTACAGTCTGACACTAACCTTGCAAATTGGCAAGTGCTAGCATGCAGAGGCTCTGAATGGTCGAGAGGGAGACTTTGCCCTCTGCAATACGCCGCATAATGCCCTCTCTTGCAGCATGTGCATACGTTTGGCTCAATTCGTCCCTTCGACTGTGGAAGAAAGAGTGTCTCGAGTGACACACAGAAAGCGCTAGTAGAGAAAACAATATCTCTTCGCGGCAATCTTGGATCGATGAAAATTCTTGT